TGCAGCAGTCTCTTGCAGTCTCTTGCAGTCTCTGGACACTGCGGAGAGAGCCGGCCCAGCGGAGACCACGCGCGCCGCAGGCCCTTCTGTCGTCTCTGGACACTGCGGCCTTCTGCAGTCTCTGGACACAGAACCGCCGGGGGCCCAGCGGCGACCACGCGCGCCGCCAGCCCTTCTGCAGTCTCTGGACACTGCGGAGAGAGCCCGCCGCAGGCCCTTCTGCAGTCTCTGGACACTGCGGAGACAGCCGGCCCAGCGGCGACCACGCGCGCCGCACTGCGGAGAGAGCCGGCCCAGCGGCGACCACGCGCGCCGCAGACTGCAGTCTCTGGACACTGTGGAGAGAGCCGGCCCAGCGGCGACCACGCGCGCCGCAGGCCCTTTTGCAGTCTCTGGACACTGCAGGCCCTTCTGCAGTCTCTGGACACTGCGGAGAGAGCCGGCCCAGCGGCGACCACGCGCGCCGCAGGCCCTTCTGCAGTCTCTGGACACTGCAGGCCCTTCTGCAGTCTCTGGACACTGCGGCCTTCTGCGCCGCAGGCCCTGCTGCAGTCTCTGGACACTGCGGAGAGAGCCGGCCCAGCGGCGACCACGCGCGCTGCAGGCCCTTCTGCAGTCTCTGGACACTGCGGAGAGAGCCGGCCCAGCGGCGACCACGCGCGTCGCAGGCCCTTCTGCAGTCTCTGGACACTGCAGGCCCTTCTGCAGTCTCGTCAGTCATGGAGTGAGTGGTGTGAATGAGTGAGTGAGTGAGTGACGAAGTCTCTGCTGACGCCTGGGAGTGTGAGTGTGGAGTGAGTGAGTGAGTGAGTGAGTGAGTGAAGTGAGTGAGTGAGTGAGTGAGTGAGTGAGGTGAGTGAGTGAGGTGAGTGAGTGAGGTGAGTGAGTGAGGTGAGGTGAGGTGAGGTGAGGTGAGGTGAGGTGAGTGAGTGAGTGAGTGAGTGAGTGAGTGGTGAGATCTTGTGTTGTGTCAGTGAGTGAATGGAGCCTGAGCGACGGAGGAGGGGGCGAGGAGGACGGAAGGAAGGAAGGACCGGCGGATGCGGGCGGGATGCCAGCCAACAAAACTAGAACCCCACACAGAGATGTGGGGAAAAAACACTTAATACGTGTTGTTTGCAGAAAGTCGATGTATTGTCAGATCCTGCCAGAAAGCCGATGATGTTTTCAGAAGGAACCTACAAATTGTTAGGTTCCAGGCTCACCTGGTATACATATATATATATATTGTAATTAGCCTCCGCCCACACACATATCAAAACTAGCTAGCTTTCGTGATTTTCTCCAAACAAGTTTTCTTCCTAAACAGTGTCTATCTATATGCCTTCCCGTTTCGTAACAGTCGTTTGTACTTCATCACCAAGCAGCTTGGGAATCCCCTGTCGACCTTCATGGGGGTGGGCTGTTCCTCCCAGCTGTTTCATGGAGTCGGAGGTTGTCGAGATGCCCCGGGCTCACATTCATATGATTTCATATGGGGATTGTAATGGTTTGAACGGGACACCTCCCAACCAATGGATTTCGCGTTTGCTTTTGCCAGAGGCCGAACTGAGGGGGGAGACCCCTATTCAAATGCACACATCCATTCATACGGTATAACGGTATAACACATGCTAAAGATGTAGGTATTTGCATCTTATACGTGCTATCCATGGTTGCATGGAACTCCAGGTCCAGGTCCACTCACATGAGGACCGAATGTGATGCTTGGAAGACTGGACCTCATGTTTGATTCAGAACATACCCAGGAAGTACGTGGATAACCCAAAAAACTGCGGATTGGTTTCCCCACTAAACAAGAATAGGTAGGAACAGGTTAACCTTTATTTTCCAGGGAAACTGAAGGAGTCAGGTTTTTATAGAGACGGGCTCCCCCCCAAAGAAAGACTCTAAGAACAAACAAGACCTGTAACTGTAACTATGCCATTCTCTAAGGGCTTGGTTGATTTTGGAGGATACATCTCCAGGCTCTTCATGGCTCATCCTTGTCATCCATGAAAACCAACACTCCTCCCGCAAGCAACCAGCACTTGCCTCCTTCATTTGTGAGGAAATGATCGTCTCAAAGACTTCCACCGGAGTATTCCTTTGGTTTGAAGGATGCTCGCAGGTAGTGGCCTTTCCCTCTTTCCGCCATCCAGTGAAACTGGATGGGGTAGAGTTTATGATTAATTCGGGTGTTCGCGGGGGGATCTCCAAATTTTCTAAAATTGAATTCTAGGATTCTCCTAGAGGACACCCGCCTTGTAATTCCTATGCCATGCCCTGCTCAAAAGTACCTTCCCACATCAACCGGTATGAAGACAAGATCCCACCCAGGAAGTACGTTGCGGCGTCCCACTGCATTTTCCAGGAAAGGCGTCGAGAAACGCTTAGGACCTGGGTCCTACCCAGGAAAAGTGGCGAACCTGCCCAAACCTTTTTAGGAATTGGTTTCTCCATACGGACAAGTGAACAGTTCGGTGGAGTACTGAGCTCTGGGTTTTCGCACCTTTCCAATGGGTAGAAAAAGCTTCACCTTTTGCAAGGAAACGGCTTGGGGGTCAATCGTAGATTGCTGCTGGTCACGCAACAGGTCGGTGCTGCTGAATTTGTGCTCACATGAGCTCACCTGAAACCACATCTTCATTTCAGGAAGGCTCCCAACGCCCAACCCTAGCAGCCCTAGCCTAGCTGTAGCATTCTCCTACCTTTTCCCCACCTCCGGGATAGCACTCCACACAGTCCTGGCACTTTGTTGAATGGCAGTGGCTGGCAATGGAGTAGCTTGGCGCCATTCGCATCGTATCATTCGAGTGGTGCACACCGAACTACACTGGATCACCTGGACCAGTAAAGTAGATTTTGCCAGTAGATCCATGCACATTTTTGCCGCCGAGAGAGAACCTGGGCAGTGAAGAAGGGGTGGCATACCAGTAGGTTACGTTCGTTTCAGCATGCGACAGTGGTCAGGGTCCTAAACTTATATCCCCGCAGTCCCCGCCAGTGACGTTACCAGTGCTTTGCCACGATGTAAAGCCCTGAGAGAACCACTGTCCAGTGTACTAGAGCTTTTCATCAACACCTGAGAGAGGGTGAATTCTCCAACTCACTCCAAGCGGAAAAAACAACATAGATCATAAGCCGCACCGCGGGGCCAAGGACCCTTTGGGAAATGTATTAAAACAATACCCTACAAGTCCAGTCTGATCCAGGCAACCACTTTTTTTGGAAAACCTCCTTATAATTAGTGTTCTCGTATGACCAACGACTGGAATCAATATGACCCCCCCAAACCACCCCAGTCTGATAACGCAAACTAGAGGCGTTCCACGGAGTGGATGGTTGAATCATTGAATTCATTTGGCTGTTGATTCTGACTCAACTAGGAAGCTTCCCATTCTGCTCTTCTGGACCGCCCGGACGTCCATGAAGACGGCTCCGAGTCCGTGGAACAGACGAGTCCGAGGGCGGCGCCTTTGCGATGTCGAGACATCCTTCTTTGCGCCCATTCAGTAAAGAGAATTCATGCATGTGCCTAGGTGTTAGAGATGTGCCCAATGCATCCACGCCCACAGTGGTTGTTCCATGGAAACTGCAAGAAACTGGAAGTCTTTGAAACAAGCACTTGCCCATTTTGCAGGGGAACATGTTCAGAAGGTCATCCTCAGCTTGGTCCTAAATTTGGATTTTTGTTGGTGAGACGAAGTTCGTTGGTCACGAGTGTGGGTGAGTCAGTCGATGAGTGTCATGATTCATTATGTTTGTTCCTTCCAGAAATGGATATGTGTGGGGCGCCACAATTGTTAGGCTGTGCATTCCATGCAACATTATATTGAACTGTACCCTCATATTTGGCACTCATGTTTAAGGGCTGGGCACACTTGCTCAAACTGTGTATTCAGTTCCCACGAGTGGTTCCAGTTTGACTACGACCATAGACCGAACCGGACTGCATTGGGTTAGGTCCGATCTCCATGGAGCAAACGGATGCATGTCTGAACCGCTCTCCAACCCACCTTCGGAACCCGCCTGACCTGCGGACCGGAGCGATCCACGGAGCCGGGGCGTCGGAGCTGGGCCCGGTCGTCCTTGGCGAAAGCTCCCACACCCAGACACGACCCATGGGACTGGTGACAGTGACCCCAGGTCAACCACCCCTGGGCTGATCGGCAGTCTGCCAGAGTGTTTGGGACAGGTTTGAGCAAATGAGGTCTGGGACCTGTTTTGTTCTGGAGTTGGTCATACACGAACACGAACGAATGAGGTTTTCAGAACCTGGTTTTACTTAGTCAGACTGGACCTTATCTTTCAGTGGAGATCCGCCTTTTTTTTCCATCTGCAGATCAGAATGCAGCCCCAGAGACTGGCTGATGCTTTCAACATGGAATGAGCCTAACATTCCGAATTCATCCCACGGTCGTACAGGGTGGAACCTCAATGGTGTTCAATCAATCTCGATTCGCCGAGCGTCCCCGGTCACCCACGGCCACATGCACCATCAGGGACCGCTAATCTGCCGTACAGCGACAGCCCCCTGAAGGAGGTGTTCACCACCAAAACTGCGTGAGGCAGCAAGGGACATGATACTCACCAAGGTCCAGGGCCATCAACAAATCACGCCTGTCTCAGCTTTTGCAAAATTCTGCCTTCACAACCATAACGTTATGGATTTGCTTATAATTAGGGATGGTCCGTTTATGTTCCCTGTATTTCCCTATGGTTGAATCCCCTTCTGAATACGGCGGTTTTGTTCCCCGGTGTCTTATGCAAATCCCAGATTTTGCGCCTTTTGTCCTGCCGAAACAACAAAAAGCACGCCTCAACAAAACCACCCGACCTGGACTTTCATGGCGTGTGACCTCAAGAACTGGAGGTCTAGAACTGGAGGTCTAGAACTAAAACCTGGAATTTCGTACCTCCTGGGGTACAGGATCTGGAGGCCAGTCGCAGGTCTTCACTGACCCACCGCAGACGTCTACCGCGGCCGTCGGACCGCCGCGGCGCGGACCGCCTCCGAGGTGGACTTCAGCGTGCGCGAAGCGGCCTTCGCCGTGGGCATGTCCCCGGCGAGGCGGCGGGGGCCGAAGCGCCGGTCAGGTCGGAGGTTTGGGACAGAAAGGACCCCGCTGGAGGTTTGGGCACGGGCGGAAGCGGTTGAGGGATGGTTGGGGGATGTTGAGTCTTTGTATGTCGGGAGGTTTGGGATCTTGACACGGTCCTTGGAGTCCAGCATCAAATCAAATCAGGGTGAGGTCACCATCTTCAATGGACCAAGCGAGTTTTTCCAACCAGCAGTTGAAAAAAGGAGAGGTTTTTGAAGCAGTCAGTGAATCTGGGCAGCCCCACCCCCTCAAGTTCGGCAGATCATGTAGACTCTTGATGAATAGACCTCATTAAACCTCCCCATTTGAATTGGATGATAGGGGGTCTAGTGGTCAAGTGTCTACATTACTCCATGGAATTGCTGGAAGTCTTTTTCTGGAAAACTGATTGTTTTCGGCACATGGTCTCAATGGAACCTTCTGCACAAGAACATCGTCTCTGATGGGTGGTTTCAACTACTTAGAACATTGTAAAACAATCATGTTTATTTGTCACTCCCAGGGCATCCAGTTACCACTATAGCTGGTAACCAGTGGTTCCAAAGACAAAAACATACAAAAACCATAGACCGAACGAAGGGCCCCCTGGTTCCCAGCTAGACGGGGTTTGGTAACTGGGATCCACTGGGACGTTCGTTCAATCCGCATCGCTCAAAACCCAATGTAAGGGCTGAAACATACTCTCCCTAGAACTAACATGGAAGTGGATGGCACCACCTGTTTGTAGTGGAAAATGGTCTTCCAAGGGGTCATTCTCCACTTCCATGTTAGTTCCAGGGAGTGTAAGTGATCTCAGAACCCACACAGCCCAGACTCTTCTCCAATGAGTCGTGTTGTTCATGATCTTCGGTCCAAAGGACCTGTAGGGTATGGTCAGTTGCGCAGTAGCTGCCGCCGCCATCAGCATGACATAGCATGACCCAAGAATGTTCATAAGATGTCCACAAAGCATACAGTCATGCACCCCATGACTGTCAGCCATTCCATTGCATATGAGGGTCTTAAGGTGCTTATTCTTGACATGTTCCACTCGCCTTGTGACCTACAAATTGACATCCCGTCTGGAACGTTCAACGGCAGAATCAAGACAATGCCAACCCCAAGCGCTGCGTTGGGCTCACCCTGGAACTGGCAGTATCCTCACTGGGCTCGATCCTCCGCTCGACCGCTTTCCTCGACCGGTGGGATAGTCAACTGAAAGACGCCAGGCTGGTCTAAGGCCACGAGTCCAGTCACAGGTCGTTTCCAGGCGTTTCATCAACCGATCTACCAGGGCCCACGCTCCAGTCGGGGCGGTTGGACAGCAGACTCGTCACCTATATGGCAGCGTCATGATATGATTGATATGGCTGTGTGTTTGAATAGGGAGGCACCCTGGCCGAAGGGCTGGGTAGACTGAAGAAGTTTGGTTTCCGAACCCTCCAGGGTCTCGGAACGCCGACCGGGATCCGATCTCCTTCGGACTGAGCTACACACCGACTACACTCGCGATCCAGTCGTACCGAACCTCAGGTTAGGTGAGGACGGAGACTACTTTATGTAGGCGCTGGCGGCGCCAGGAGGGTCCAAGTATACCTTCTGAGAAGGTATGTGGATCCCTATAGGATATCAATAGCACCCCAAACAGGGCCCTGGAGTCTTGCTCGACGGCTGCAGGGAGCCGCCAGGAATGCACCCGATGCCGTTGGGGGCGCTCAGGGCAAAGAGAAGGAGCTGCAGGGAGTATCCATATTCCCCAGTAAACACGTAAACAAGAAGCTACAGGGAGTTTCCTAACCACTTGTTACGTATAGAATTTGTAGTATACACTGACCTATCTGACCTCCACCTGAAAACGATTTGAGAAGAGACTCGAATCGACTGGCGGACGTCAGTCAAGTCTAAGACTGTCCGGATGTCCAGTGGATGTCCAGGCCTTGAGTCCGTTCGGGGCTCGTGGTGCTTTTCAAGCAACGAAACAGGTCCGAACAGGGGTTCCTGAGACAAGGAAGGACCAGGAAACAGGTCCGAACAGGTCTGTACAGGGAAGGGACATGGGAAATGGGGTGCCAACTGCAAACCCATTCCCATCAAGTCGTCAATGGCCTGCTGTTGGCTGATAGACTCTGATAGACCCATCAGTGGGGGGCCATGGCGTGCTGGCGGAGTCGCATTCCAGCCGGGCCGCCTTCCCGGTGGCGTAGTGTAAAATAACTGCAAGAATCCTTATACCAGGAGTCACAAGACGGGGTGCTATCCATCAAGGTTAGGGGTGCCCAATATACCACTCACTTAGAGACTAAAAACCACCCCTTTTGTGACTCCTGGTAATGGTTCATTTGGTAGTCGACATGTAGTTCTTCGAGTCCTAGGGTGCAAGCTATCATTCCCGTCATTTTCCGTCCACACGACGGCTGGGATTGGAATTTCTCGTCCTAACTTCTCCGCAGCCCCACTTCAGAACGACACAACAACGAGAGATACTCGTACAGTGCCAGTCTTGAGGACATTTGTTTTTCCATGCTTATCCGGGATGGGGCTTGTCTCGAGCAAAAACAACGCACAGATTCGCACCTCAGAACGATCCGAACGTGGTCGGATCGGGTCTTGGCCGAGCAGTTGGGGTCGTCTCTGGTTTGCTGCCAGCTTTTGACAGGGGAGGGGTGTTTGGTTCCGGCCATTGGGTATGGTCCAGACGTTCCTATCCCGTTTGGGGATCCATGTATAAAACCGACACGAAACGAAGCCACGACCGGTTTCTGCTGGCGCTATGCTTCTACAATCTTCTATAGTCTCCCTGCTTACCGAACTAAGAAGGTGCCAAGGGATCCAAGCATGACTCCAAGTCACGTCTCACCACATCCCAAGAGAGGTAGCCAGTGACCTGAATTAGGACCTTACTGGGGTACCTATGGGATAGTCTATGGGGTTGTTCAACCTCTGTTGGTCCCACCCAAATCCAGCTTAGAGTGAACCCAGCCCAGCCCAGCGAAGCTGGCGCTTCTTCCAGCGTCCAGCGCCCCCACCCGGTTTTTCAGCAAACGCGAGACATTTCACGAAATCAGTGACATGTCTTTCAGGGAGAACGAGCAGGAACTGCGCATGGTGCCGCCCCTTCCCGACGATGAGAGACGGAGGGCACGGGAGTGGACGACGATGTGCGGCTTTGGCTCCCGGGTGCAGGTTCTGGAGGCAGGTCCAGAACTTGCTTGAAGAAAACATTCAGGATCAACTCCTGACTCCCCTGAATTAGGGCCTTTATTTGAGAAGATGGGACAATGAGTTACGGGTTTGGAGATTGGTCAAGATGGGAGGTGAATCCTGTAGTGTCTAACAGGTGCAGTGTAGACCACCAGTCCCCTGCAAGTCAAAGAATGCCTGAAAGGGAGCTTCCTTTACTTCAGCCAGTCAACATGTGGTCTTTGGACTTCTAAGGAATCCAAAACCTGAGAGACATACCCCGTGATCCCCGATCCAGTCGTTTCAGTCCGCTTGTGAGACACCTTCCACCTGTTGCAAAGTGGGTCCATCAGTGCGTGCTCGTGCTGTGGCCAAAAAACAGATTACATATACTGCAAATGGTTAAATAGGAGTTGTAGCCTGCATGAACTGATTTTCGACCAGGTTTGGTAAGAAAACACAGAGAACCTGACATGTATTGGACATATTGGACATCCACAACATCCACTCAGCTACTCGGCCAGGTGAGCCTGAATGAACCTGATGCCCAAATGAAATGGTGAAATCTTTGAGCCCGTCGAACTTCTTCAGAAATCTGGAAGAGTTGTGTTGTTTTCAATAACGTCCCCAGGATGACGAATAATATGATTTCTTTTGCGTGGGGTTCTCTAATTTTAATATGTTGCACTCCAACATATAGGACATAGGAACATCTCACTGAAAACACCAATAATAACGGCAGACATGATCTCAACAACAAGAGGAATGACATGGAATGACCATAAGCATAATAAGGGTAAGGGCACATTAAGAAAACAACAACAACAACAACAACAACAACAACAACAACAACAACAACAA